TGGGCATCGCTGGCAGCTAGAGTCCTTCGATCTGCCGTATTGGTCGAGTTTGCTGGTTGAACCATTTTCGCTCGCGTATTGGTTTAAAATGATTGGGATGACTTAGATTGTCGTCCCCACAGACAGCGCCAAATGTTTATGCAAGGATATGCGCAACAGTGTATTTCAGATTGCAGCTCGAACTCGGCCTCCGGACCGATCTGAATACTTGGGCGGACCTGCACAAAAAGGTGAGCACTCTGACGATCAAGTCAGTATAGGTCGGATTCCCAGTTTAGTTCGAGGTCAGAAATCATCGTACCTGATCGTGGAGTGAAGTCCTCTACTTATGGGTGGTAGTCCCGCTAATCTCGCGACGGTTACACCCGATAATCTCGGGACCGTCGGTTACACCCGGTAATCTCGGGACCGACGGTTATACTCGATAATCACGCCGCTGACAGTAGCTCACATGGGCCCCCACCGAGCTTTCCGGTAGGTCGGACCTCGGCCAGGTTCACCTCGACCCTCATACTTAGCATCTGTCAACGCTAGTGGTGGTGATCTCAGCGGTCTGAGCTGAGACATGACTCATGGTCACCTTGGGGCACCAATGGCTGTCCTCCACGTGTCCAGGGTATTCTTTCCCCCAAACAAAATGGTCCCATGCTTTCTACTTAGCTTGTCCTATTATTTTTAAAATTTTAAATTTGTTCTAATTTGAATTTAGTTTCTACGGTTTAATTAAATTTCACAAATCATTTCTAGATCATTTCTTATCCATATGTAAACTCATTTATTTTATCATAATTTTTGTTAAGAGAGCACATTAAACAAGATGTATAGGCAGTTATATTTCTGTTGTATCAATTATATTGAAAGGTTGATTGGTAGGCTAAAAGTGTAATTTATCTTGTATTCATAGCCTATTATAAATAGTTGTATTTGATCATAAATTGAATGAGAAGAGAACCGTGCGTTTATGATCAATTTTCTCTCTGAGATGTAAAGCTTTATAATTTTTGCTGGCTTAAATCAAAATACAGTAAGCTTAACACATTAAATAAGGAACCTATTACCATTATATAAATCGATGATTTAATCTCTACCCAATAAGTATGAAAATACTAGTTAATTATAGGAGTGATCACAAGGCGAGACAGGGGCGAGAAAGTCATCTTCGTCCCTATCCCCACACCCTATTTCAATCCCCAACTTATATTAAGTGTTTGATCTTTAATTGACCAAGTATGCAAATGTTGGTAATAGATGAGCTAACTCTCCAAACTAGTAGATAATCATGGCATGTTGTCGTAAATTCTATTGGAGGTCTGTGCCCAGGTCAATTCGACTGATAACTCAGGTGATCGAGGTACACCCTGGTTGGTCGGCTCGGCTAATATCTCAAGCATGCGAAGTGCGAAACTCCGGTCGGCTTGGTATGAAACATGAGTCACGACAGTCTCCAATAGTTCAACTCGACCCTACGAGAATTCGAGCTATAATTTATTTCATATGTGAGTCACAATATTGACTCATTATTGTTGAACATATCAGATGTAGATATGTGGTTGGTGAGAAATAACCACCGGTACTAAATCTCTTCTACTGATTTCATTTGTATTATGTTGATAGTCATCTCATGCTATTTAGTCAAATTGATTAATAAGCTGGTGTGTATCATCCCATTATATTTAGTCAAGCATTGCAATAATAAAACAACCACATAAAACCTTAACTCAAAATTTAGGAATGTAATTAATTTTATTTTTAAATTGAGAGATTATGTAGACCTAGAAAATCAATCAACCAAAATTTAAAGGTTAAATTTGTAATTTAACTCTTTTGAAATTATTTGAAAATTAGAAAAACTATTTATTTAAAAGAGGGAGGCTAAAATAATGTTGGTCCAAGAGCTACTATTGATTAGGGTCTTTGGTGACGGCCAAGGGGTATTGGGGTTAGTGCCTGTTTGGCTGCAGGTGGAGTCAGCCGCTGAGTCAGGTTCCAAATAAACTCTTTCTTTTTTTCCCTCTTTCTTTTAAATTTATTTTAAAAATAATAATAATTAGAAGCTTATTTAAAAACAATACTTTGAGAATTTATCCGCTAGAAATTATTGTTTAAAAAAAAGTATATATCGACACAGAGAAATTTTGAAACTTCGAATGAGTATTATTTAAAAAATGTTAAAAATTGAGCGATACTAAAACAAAAATTATTGATTCATCTATTTTCGATTTTTGTTTATTTTTTCGTTAAAACTTTCATTTGTTTCATGTGCTTTCAAGTGCATTTTAATCTTGTAATGTTTTGATCCATAAATCTTAAAGATATGATTATTTTTGTCTCTTTAATTTCATTTTTATCTCATTTATTGTAATACAAATTTCAGCATCATCCACTCATTAAACGTTTTGAAAGGTAGTCATAAATTTGTATAAAATGGTTTCCATTGTAGATACTTTGTGTAAAAACTTTGCAAATAATGATTAAAATGATAATTTTTTAAAAGTATAAATATCAAAACAGATGCTTTGATAGTACATTTACTAAAATAAACAAAGTCGAAAGTATAATGGCAAAAAAAAAATTCGATTTTAAATCTTTTTGAAACTTAACTTTTAAAACAGTGGATTAAATTAAAAGTTCATGGAGTTTGAAAGTTTGCTTTGAACTTTAAAAAGTTCTTAAAATTTTGTTGTAATGTTTTTCAAGTCTGAGTCTTTTTTAGTGATTGAAAAGTAGTGTGCACATCGGAACCACTCATCTTAGACGCTGTCAGTTTAGAAGTATCCAACGAATCTCTAAATTTTCAAATTTGCTAATAATAGGTCTCAATATATATATAAAAAAAATGGCTTGATAGTGACAATCATATAGTTCGATGGTTTAATCGTAACAATACTAACAATCCAAATGTAGTTGATGCATTTTACAACATTAAAAGATTTAATTGTAATACTTCATAAATTTAGGGGCAGTAGTTGATCAAATTAAAAGTTTGAGAGTTGTGATCATAGCAGTCTTTACAGTGTATGAGTAATTTTAGTAATTTTCATGCAAAATTATTTTTTTAGTATAATAATATGCGGTTGAGTTACGTTCGATTCAGTTCAGATGTGTCGTGATCCTTGTATTTCGGAAATTAAAATTGAATGGTAAAGAACGGGATATGATGGTAATTAGGTAAGTTAATAAGGGTCAAAAAGGGAAAAGCGAAGAAAAAAGGACGGTGGTTGCTTGGCAGATGTAGCTAATCTGGTCTTCGTCGGAATAAGTTCAACGGTTTAAAATGCTTTAAGAACATTTAATCCCAATTTTCAAATCCCTACGTCCAACATACTTTTTTTTTTCTTTTTGAGAAAAACAATAAACATAACTAATATATTTTACTTTGGTATTTAATTTTTCCCAATTAAACAAAAATAAATTTGGAATCAATTAGCTCCTTCTTTTTTCCTTTTAAAGATAATAAAATAATAGGTGGAACAAACTCGATTAATTATCATAGTTTAAATAGCTATAAAAGTTGTGAATTTGAAGTATTCTTTCTTGATTTATGAAACAATATTTTAAAAAATAATAAATAAATAAGTGTTTACGGGTTTAATTTTCTGCGTTGTAGAATTAAAATATTTTTGAAATTCAATGGATATTTCATTTTATTGTTGTTTTTAGTTTTGATTCGTCTATTTGTTCTTTTAGATAATTGATTTTGTTGGTTCTTATTTTATTGACCAAGAAAAGGACAATTTTGACGTCAGCCTTTCAAATTTTATTAAAAAAATATTCAATATCGGTTTATTTTTTCCATTTAATTATTAAAAAAATCAAATTTGAAACAACTCACCTATATTTCACCCGCATTTTTAGGATATTAAGTCACAAATACTGCAAAATAATTTAAACTGACAACCCACGAAGAAAAATAGCAGTGCACAAATTGTAATTTAGTTGACCCAATCTTTTCATTTGAAAATAAACGAAAATCATAAGGGAAAAAAAACAAACTTTTATGCAAGCTTAAAACTTCTAGTTTGAAAACGAATAAAAATGGGAAAAAAAGAAGACCCCTCCCTCAAAATAATTAGTCAAATGACAAAAAGAGAAAAAACAAAATAACCCCACAATGTCACACAAAAAAACAAACAGTCGTGTTTCATAAATTTTTCGTTTTTTATTTTCTATTTTTTAAAATTCAACTTAGAAATATTGCTCCTTTTATTTATGAGTTATTTTGTTATGTTAAGTAGCTTTTACAGACATTTTCAAAATATAAGTCAAAAATAGTAATTTTCAAAAACTTATTTGTATTTTCAAAATTTGACTAAAATTAAAAATATATTTAAGAGGAAAAACAAAAACTTACTACGGAATTGTAAAGAACCAGCATTATTTTTTAAAATAGAAAACAAAAAATAAATGATCATCAAATTAAACCATTTAAAACTAGAAAAAAGAGAATCCAAATCCACAAGTTTCCTTTTTTTTTTTTCC